AAATATGAAAAATGGTGTGAATTTGTGAGTTGATATATTTATTTTTTTGTAAGATATTCAGTATTTTTGGGTCTTTCACTCTATTGTTTTGTGCTGATTTATTGCTTGAATCTAGCCTGTTAGTCACTCTGCTCTCTGACTTGCAAGTAATATATCCTGTTGCTAATATATCAAGATAGAAGCGATCAAGACTATTATGAAGTTATAATAAGACAGAAAAGGCTTTTCTTCAAAAATTCATTTCAACGATCTTGAGATATAAGAAGAAAGAAAAGGCCTTTCTTCAAGAATTAATTTCAACGATTGTTTTGAACAATGATGGACTAGATTGTCATTCTGTCGATGTCGAACTATTTATTTTCAAAGAACCGAGCAAACCAAAGTACATAACTCTAGCAAATAAGCCCGAAAATAACAAAACGTATTACAAGTAYCAATAACATCCTCCTTGATATTGTTATATCAAACACTACTATTGTGGGAGTCACAATAAAAATCTTAACAATAAAAATAGATATTGTCCACTTAGTAACTGATAACTTCAAGAAAACATGCAATGTTTTCAATTTCAATTTTCAGTTCCTGCTCACATGCGATTGTCTTCAGGCACTCTTGATACTCCTTTCAMTGGGACATAACTTTACGACAGGTCTCGTAACAGTCTTGCCGACTTGAACATCAACTGTGCGAGTGTGGCCATCTGCACCTCGGAAGGTTTTAATGATCCTGCCAAGCGCCCACTTCCCTCGTGGGGTGTCAGGTTTCAGCACTAGTACTACATCTCCAAGCTTCAAATCCTCTTGAGGCTTTCCTCTCTTCATCCAGGAAAGGACAAAGTGATGATAGCTTTGATGCGCTCGGTAAAGTCTTTTGTCCCCTGATAGCATTGATTTCTTCTCTGAAACATTCCAGCTGAGTTTGCTTGACATGGTTTATCTCTGCATCCTTTAGTTCYTYTGGGTAAAGGCATGTTCCTCCCATGCGCAGCTTTCTTGGGTTGCGGCAGTTATCCACAAAACGCATTACTCGAGGTGTCAAGCGCACCACTTTTGACCAACTTGAAAATCTGCAGGGGTCAAGCTTATTCACCTCATCTATTGATGGTGTTCCTTGTGATGAGGATACTACTTTGTTGGTCTGGAATTTACAAGACTCGCGGCACTGTCTTCTCTTCTCACTGTCTGGTTTTGAAGGTTTATATATCTTTGTGGTAGGCCAATCGTCAACAGGTGGAGACAGGAATTCTGGGCCATTCAGGTACAGTCATTCCTCTGGTCAATATATCAGCTGGGTTCTCAGCAGTTGRTATATACTTTCACTGCTCTGGTTCTGTTTCTGTCTGTATTTCACCTACACGGTTTGCGGCAAACGGTTTGAAATGCCGGCTTTGGATCCGTAACCAGTGCAGGACGTCCAGGCTGTCAGACCAGAATCTCCAGTCACTCTTGTTGATGTCAAGTGTTTGAGCGACAGCTTGTGTTAGTCTCAAACCTGTTACCGCTGCCATGAGTTCTAATCTGGGAACGCTAATAGCTTCGAGTGGTGCAACGTCCAACTTTGCTGCTATAAGCCGGGTGGTCACGGTCCCATCATCATACTCACATCTTGCCTATGTCGCCGTCACCATAAGCTTCTAATAATGCATCCACAATTGTATGTAGGCTTGGACTGCGTTCCTTACTCTTATCGACGCCCAAATATCTTGGTACTAGAACACTTGTTAAGTGGGGTAACTCTTCGAACCACTGGGATGTCTCACTGGCTAGGCTGTCTGGCAGTGGTTGGTCCCACTCAACCCTGCCTTCCAGGTTTTCTGTAAGGTCATCCTAGCTCTAATGGTGAATGGTGCCAACAGGCTCAGTGAGTCGAATAACGACGCTGTGCTTCTCAGCAGGTTTCTCTTTGTGATCTTGTCTGGGACTGGCAACTTGGACGTGAAGGAAAACACATCTGATTCTGGGTTCCATGGTATCCCCAGTGTCTTTGTTGATGACAATGCACCACAGTCCAAGTCAACTGACGAGGCACGCTCAGTAATAGGGACAGCCATCAACACTTCAGGACTGTTGGAAAGTCACTTCCGTGCTCTCACGCAGTTTGATATCAGTAGGGATGTCTTTCACAGAATCCATGCTGTCATCCATGTATTGCTGTTGTGAACAGTCTTGGCGGCCAGAGTATACTTAGTTTTACTTAGTATACTTAATTGTGCTAAGAAGGGAGACGAGTTTACTCCAAACACYACACGGTTGAACTCAAAGACGTCAGGTGGCTTGCTCTAATCTCTCCAAAGGAATCTGTGAAAAGGTCTATCTTCCTCTTTCATGTTGATCTGTAAATACATCTCTGCGATGTCACACATGATTGCGATTTACGTCGGAAGTGAAGGAGCACTGCACACAAATCATTCTGTGACTTTGGTCATTGGTGGATAGTATCATTGAGAGAAACACCATCCAGCTTGGCAGAGGCATCGAAGACAATGCGAGTTTTCGTTGTACTCTTGTCCGGTCTCAGTACTGGGAAATGAGGTAGGTAACAGACCCTGTCAGCTGTATTTTCACTCTCCGTCACTTTACGTATGTATCCTTTGTCTAAGTAATTCTTTATGACATCTCTGTATGATCCACCAACTTGCTGATCCTTCAGCAACCTCTTTTCTGTGTTGATTAGCCTGCGAAGTGCCATATCAAAGTTGTTTGACAGTTCCGGTTTATCTGCTTTCCAGGGAATTCGTACACAGTATCTGTCATTGTTGTAGCTTGGTGACTTTCACACAATCTCAGTAGCATACTTCTCCTCTGGTGGAATACAATCTGTTCGCGAAGGCTCTTTATCTCCTAGAAACGTCTGACAAGATCCCCGAGTTCAGCGTTAGGGTGGTGGCTTATTGTGACATGAGTTCTTTGCGGGCCTTTTTTCATGGTTGATGGCCAGTGCATGTCCGGCCAAGGGAGGGGTGAGTCTTGCTATTGGCTCACCTGGTTCGGCCATCACCTCTTGTAGTGAACGATGAAGATCCGCTTGATCAGTTCCGATGAGAACATCCACGATTTTTGCTAAGTTGGGGAAAGCGAATAC